ACAACTAACTTAAAGAAAGGCTACATTAGACCCTCTACTTTACTAGCAGGATTCCTAATACTCTTCGTTCTAAAGAAGAAAGAAGAACTACTAAGGATGTGCGTTGACTACCGAAAACTTAACGACATTACGGTTAAGAATTGATACCCTCTACTAAACATTACAGAATTACAGGATCGACTATTAAAAGCTAAGATCTTTACAGCAATAGATCTTAGAGACGGCTACTACCTTATTAGGATAAAAAAAGGTGAAGAATAGAAGACAGCGTTCCGCACACAATACGGACACTACGAATACACTGTTATGCTGTTTAGGCTTACGAACGCCCCGGCAACATTTTAGGCACTTATTAACAACGTGTTAAGAATGCACCTAGACATCTTTGTCGTCGCATACCTAGACGATATCCTCGTCTACTCTAAGAACGAAGAAGACTACGTTAAACATGTCCGCACAGTACTAAGGTGCCTAGACTAGTACAACTTACGAGTTAAGCTAAAGAAGTGTATATTCCACGCTACGGAAGTACTCTTCTTAGGCTATATCGTAGGCATTAACGGAGTACGGATGAGCAAAGAAAAGATTAAGCTCGTTAAGAAATAGCCTCCACTAACTACAGTTAAGGAGATACAGTTCTTCCTAGGATTCCTGAACTTTAACTGACAGTTTATCAAGAACTACTCTAAGATTGCTATTCCCCTGACTAAGCTAACACGAAAGGATACGCCTTTTGTATAGAGCAAGAAAGCAGAAGACGCGTTCTAAACGCTTAAGAATGCAAGCATTACACTACTATACTTCTGCATATTCTAATTAGGACAACTACTACGTTTCGAGACCGACGCATTAGACCTCGCACTCGGAGGCTGCGCTAGCTAGCTACACGAAGGCAAGTAGCACCCGATCGCCTACTACTCGCGCAAGTTCTTAGGGCCTAAAGAACGTTACGACGTTTACGACAAGGAGCTTCTAGCTATTGTCGCCTGCCTAGAACATTAGAGAGTATACGCCGAAAGCTGCTTAGAACTTACGATATTTACGGATTATAAGAACTTAGTCAACTTCACGACTACTAAGGAGCTCAACCGCCGACAGGTTTAATAGTTAGAGAAATTAGGCTAATACAAGTTCAAGATCGTGTATACACCTAGGAAAGACAACGGCAGAGCAGACGCTCTTAGCCGAAGACACGACATCGCCGGAACTAAATCTATTACGGATACCGCGATACTTAAGGTTAATAACAACGGGTTATTAGGACTAACTAAGACGCTGAACTTAATACTGCGAGTTACTAGCAAAGTACCGGAAGAATTGCAAGAAGTAATTATTAAGCAACACCACGACGACCTAGTACACGGTTACCTCGGTATTACTAGAACTATAGAACTTATCTAACGCAACTACGAGTTCCTAAACATAAAGGACAAGATTACTGCCTTTATCGCCAAGTGCGCAGACTGTTAGAAGAACAAGCACAGTACCTACGCACCCTACGGAGAAATGCAGGCAATAGAGCTGCCCGACTAGCCTTAGTTAGACATCTCTATAGACTTTGTTACAGGCCTACTAGTCTTAAGAGACCCTGTAACACAAGTGTCCTACGACGCTATTCTCGTAGTAGTAGATCGTTTTACGAAGCAAGCTAAGTATATTGCCTTTCGCAAGAACTTTACAGCAGTACAACTTGCACACATTATTAACGATCGCATTATCCGACACTACGGCATTCTAAAGTCAATTATTAGTAACAGAGACAAGCTCTTTACTTCGAACTTCTAGACTACCTTGTTAGCCGCTATCGGAACTAAGAGAAAGCTATCGACAGCTTATTATCCGCAGACAGACGGACAGACCGAACGAACGAATCGCACGATAAAAGCCTACCTACGCATCTACGCTAACAAACAACAAAACAACTAGGTATTGTTACTACCTATAGCACAGATAGCGTACAACAACAAGCTTTCTAAGTCTACAGGACAGACTCCGTTCTACGCGAACTACGGGAGACACCTAAATCTCTTTACACGTACTTTTTCTAGTTAGAAGACAGAAGCAGCTATTGCTACCGCCGATAAGCTAAAGACAGTACATAAGTTACTTAAAGCGACACTTGAGAAGGCACAACGCTAGAGCATTTTATATGTTAACAAGAAACGAAAAACGGCACCTCAGCTAAAGAAGAGGGATAAAGTTTATTTGCTTACGAAGAATCTCCGCACTAAGCGACCTAACAAAGAGCTCGACAACGTTAAGGTTAGACTGTTTTTAATTCTTAACTAGAAGAGACTAGTTACATTTACACTCGACCTTCTACCTAACGTAAAGATCTACCTACGCTTCTACATTAACATGTTAGAACTAGCAGATCCTAAGACGCCCCTCTAGAAAACCTTTTATTTTAAAACAGAAGAAGACAATGTCTTCAAGGTTGAACAAATTCTCGAACATCGACAACGCAACAACAGAACAGAGTACCTAGTTAAATAGTTAGGATACGACGACAGCGACAATACATAGGAACTAGATACGAACCTTACGAACTGCTAACAGCACCTTCGGAAGTACTAAGCTTAGCGACAGAAGCATCGAGCATACCTATTGTAGCCTACATAGTCAGCGAGAACGCGACGCTAATTAATGCGGCAGGACAGTCGATGTCCTGCGCCGCCTCTGTCTCACTAGCCGCCTCTATGTCCGAAGCTAAACAAAGCGCTTTCCTACGCGCCCGTTCCTCCGCCTGTTTTAGAATTTTCTTATTCCGCAGCAACCGCGAAATTACCGCTGCTAATAACTTTTTATTATTATCAACTTTCTTTTAGTACTCCTCCCGAGTACGGTCCAAAGACTCCTAGGACATGTTCACACATGCCTAACCTAACTAAGTGCACTCAGCACACTTCAGACAAGAATTCGGTATAACAAGACAAACGGCTCCTTCGAGAAAACAATAGTTACAAGGAGTTTTAGCAGGATAGTTAGCTCGAGCAATTTCGGAGCTAAGGCGTAAGCGACGTTAGTAGAAAGAGGACATAACGACTGCCTTACTTATAACGCGGGGTAAGCCTTAGTTATTAATAGAAACGACAAATCAGTTACGTGATTCGAGAACGAATCTATAGAGGAGGAGGATAGTGTTACGATCTAACCTAAGAGGCACCCTAGAGGTCAGCGTAATTACTTTAAAGGATCGTGCGGCACAGTCGTAGGAGCGCGGCACAGGAACTGCGCTGCAGTTACGTAACCGCTCGTCTACGAGCAGAACGACGCTAGTCCTATAACAAGCGCTCGTCCACGAGCATAAGCAGTCAGACTAATAACTAGCAAGACACATTACTGCTCGTCTACGATTACCTACACGCTCGTCCACGAGCGCAACACTTATTAAAGTACATAGCTTAGACACTAAACCCTTATAGCTTAGTGTGTTTAACTTCGTACAAGACTCTAGTATTTAATCTAAGGATTATACTTCTTTCTTAACCTCTTGTAATATTACATCGTTCTACTAAACGTGCTATTACACCCTCGTACTATTACATCGATCTACTAATCGTGCTAGTACACTAACCCGTCCTACCTTACTTACTCACTCCCCGAGAACCAACTCTTAGGTCATCTTAGGACGACCTTTACAACTAGATATTGTACGTAGCTATAATTAACGCTTCTAGTAAGCTATTAAACACGTGCTCGTAGTGTCTTGTAATAAATGCAGAGAATAGCGCTGCGCCCCTAAAGCTTCTAAGAACTAATAGCGTATGTAAATCTACGCTAACTTTGTATAAGTGTAAGAGGCTAAAGTCTAGTTAGCGAATTCTTAACAATATCTCGGTTACGTGTATAAGCGCACGGTTCGCGGTTAACGCGTCTAAACAACGCTTAGACTAAACTTCTAAACCTTAGACTAAAAGATAATCTAAGCTGCTACTAATTAACCTTTAGGACGAGGTAGCCTATAGTTCTCTTCTCTATTAAATACAACTTTAGTATACCTGTGCAGTAGCTCCCTAAGCGTAGCCTCTTATAATAAGGGCTTTTAAATAGTAGTTAAGATTACAATTCAGGTTACTATGATTTACCGACGCAAGCTGGGGATTAAAGTTCTATCCCCGCATCAGCGTTTAATGATCTTCCTGGAACCCGCTCTTGTCTGGGGTTGAAAGTCACAGGATGGTGGGTAGGTTGTCCGGTCAGACCGGTCCACGCTTTAGTCAAACCAAATGGCGATGTTGCGGGGGAGGGGCCGAGGGCGTCGAGGATCTCCAAGGTGCTAAGCATGCGGCGGGGTAACGCATCCAATACCGGGGCCCCGACAGGACGGGCAGAACCCGCGAGGAAGGGAGTACTCCGAGCCCGAATCAAGCCAGTAACTAATCATGTAAGTAGTCATAAGGGCAAGCACACGCTTGCAGGAATAAGCGACTGAATATGTCTGCAAAACAGAGTGAGAGCGTTGCAAGCAGATGATTGTGTGGCGGATTGCCAGACTCTGTTTGAGAAAGGGCTCTTTCTTTCTACCTAGGTCTACTATAGATCAGTACAAAAACGACCTTGATATGTCTCTTGACCTACATTCGTGCTGGGAATGAAACTGACTAGCCTAATAGAATACTGACACAAAGTTCTCAAGTACTGGCGCAATAATCAAATCTAGATCATAGAGGGCGGGAACCTAGACCAAGGCGAAGAATATCATGCAGAAAGCTTATAACAACTCACTACCGAGTTATTATATGCCACGATAGCTTCACCTATGACCAGCACTTAGTGACAGTATTGTCATATGCTATACCACGTGGTGTTTCATTCATTACTCGCATAACTTGCTTATATAAAAGCCCACTCTTTTCGCATCTATACTTTCATAGAGTGAAGCTTTTCTGGATATCATTCACATATGCCCTGTTGCGTGCTCTGACTCATGACATTGTAACACCCAGCCTAAGCCTTCTCAGCTATATTACCTTGTTTACCGCTCCTCCACAGGTTCACTAAGAATTGAGACTCATGGATTCTCCAGCATCAAAGATCAAACCCCCAGGCCAGAGACTAATCTCGAGCTCGACAACTTGGTCGCGGCGTAATGGCTGTGTTGCTGTATGAGGATGGTACACGTACGCGGGTCCCATCAGTTCCTTGTATTCGTCTGGGCCAAGGTCCGTAAGCGACTCATAGGTGATGGCGCGATGCGATGCACGAAGACGGCCGTTGGGTCCGATGTAGCGCCTGTACATAATTTGTTACTGCCAGAGGACATTGATGAACTGAAGTACGATTGAAACTTACCAGACGTTATGGTTCGGAATATCGTCCACTGTTGTGCCCGTTGGGAGGTCTTCCATGGGAATGTTCTGATGCCACAGCTCTTTGCCGTTCTTGTCGAGCTTGCGTAGCACGACGTAGACGTCCTGCGACAGTTAGTTTAGAATTGAATATTATGGTGTACGCACACATGAACCCCCTGAAGGGAAACTAAGTTCATGTGGGCATATATATACTGAAGGAAAAGGACTTACCATATCGTCATCATTAGGTGTTGACACGTATACTTTGGCCTTTGAGATACCACACAGCTCGGTGTACTCCTCGAAGGTGTGGACGAACCAGCATCCGTTGTCAGAAGGCGAATCCGCTTGGTACCCAACCAGGCCCTCCTTGGACGGTTTATGAGGCCCCAGAGATCCCGTCGTCGCATCGAGGAACAACGTTTCGTACTTGAACTTGGCTGGAGGATACTGATCACTTGGCACGTTGATGATGGTGGGACGGTTGTAGCCCAGGAGTGAGTATCGAACCCGAGGCGTGGATTCCCAGCCGTTATCCTTGTCGAGCATGTACTTGTCAAAGAATCGCTGCAGGTCGTCGTTGTTCTCTGGTTTGTATATGTCGTGCCACTCCTGGGTGTAGCACCAGCGCAACCATTTCTCAGATGACCGAGAGAGCATGAATCCCCTCAGTGATCCTTCGGTATGTAGCCTGGTTGAGAAGCTGGCGGTAGCATACATTGGAACAACGATGTTGCGGAGCTTCGGCTTCTTGTCCTCCCAATAGTCATTCCAAGTACCGTACTTTTCCACCATCGCGCCGACATCCTCGCGCTTCCCGGGTCCTGTGGGAACGAAGCAACAATCAGAAAGAGTTCGCAGAGACAGCACCACTTAGGCGATAGAAACAGACAGACAAAACACTCACCGCACGTCCACGCCGTCAACAAACTCCAGAAAGCATGGTCAGGTATGCCGCCGCGACAGATGGATTCTCTGTAGTAGTCTCCCAGCCCCTCCCAGGGTGCCATGCAAGCCAGATGAGGAGGTTGTTCAGCAGCGATGAACCATTGCGTTGTCCCCAGCCATGAGTTCCCGGCCATGAACACCCTCTTATTACACCAGGGTTGCTGCGCGATCCACTCGATACAGTCGTACCCATCATGGCCCTCTTGAGTCCCGTACGCAACGAGATCGCCGCCGGATTTGAAGGACCCGCGAGCATCGATGTTCACAACCGCATAGCCGCGGGTAACCCACTCAGCAGGATCAGGCGCCTCCCACTTCTCCAGACCACTTGTTTCGGAACGAGGCACGCCGACTCTCCATGGAAACATGTCGAGCTGCTGAATGCCTGTTCCGGACTTGCCGTAATGACTCCATGGCATGATAGCCGGGACATGCTTGTCGTCGGACGTCACTGGACGAAAATCGTCACGCAAGAGTTCGACACCATCGCGGAGCGGAATCCGGACATCCTTGTCCCAGATTGTATCAACCGAAAATGCCTTGCGACCCTCCTCTTTGACCCATCCTTTGGCGATGATTCGCCTCTCAGTAGGGCCATAGTCAGTCCAGATGTTCTTTGGTTCATGATCAATCTCGGTAAACAATACCGGTACGGAGAAGGGCTGCGGTGTGGTGGCTGTCATTGTGTCAAGCTTTTCAGATGTTCGAGATGAGGTTCCTTCTGATGCCAGGATGAAATGAATCTCAATAAGAAAAGACGTCATCTTGACATCTGATAGGAAAGCTTTATGTAAACCTGAAATAGGCGTCTATACTCCCGGCGTCAATGCCGATGTCGAGTTCCATCAATCTAGTTAAATTATCGGGTAGGATGCGAGGTTCCCAACTCTAAGTCCGGAGCTCCCGCAACCCCGCATCCGATGCATGTGAGAGGGTCTTTAAGTGCCGTAGATAGGTAAGACGCCAAACACTTGCGTGAATGAATAGCCGCCCAGATGACAGGTTAAATAACATAAACGAAATCGCAGGGACCCAGAGCCCTAGACTGGCCCATATAGAGGAGGGTGAGCACGAAATAGGTCATGGTAATATATTGATTGTACATACTTGCGCGTGTGCGAGTGAGAGTGTATGTATGTATATATATTCCCTAGCAGCTCAACATTCACTGGCGCTATGTTAGAAGAGCTTTGCTACAGCACCAGGCTGTAGTGTCGTCACCCTTGACCTAGTCTCCTTCTCAAGCAGTTCCGTAGCTGGTTCTAGTTTCAGAGTCTTCGGCTGGATCGGCATGTCATCGTACATGGACCAGATCACCTTCTTCGGCTCTCCGAGTAGCTTCGACAATTTCACCGCAAACTGCGCCGCTGATCCATCGAACGGTCTTCCGTTCAGGTTGCCCCGTCCAACGATTGCCTGGATAAGCACGTCTGGCTTCGGCTCCAATCCCTTAAGTATTCCCTCGTATGCACCCAGATGCCCGTTCCACAGCGCGGTCTTGCCCTCGCCGAGCAGGAAGTTGAACATGAGCTGGCCTCCATCAAAGGGAGACGAACATTTAGCCAATGGGCTGCTGAGCCAGTCGGTGAAAGATCGCATGCCGTCGTCCATCGCGTCACGAGGAATGTGTTCGCCCATTTTGAGGAGGCCGTGTGTCATCATGAATGTGATGTCAAGTGTGCAGGCGTACTGGCTTGCGCCTCCGATGTACTCCTTGCCAGTATCCATGACTTCTGGCAAGTCCTTGGGCGAGCTGCCGGGCAACAGACAGTGCAATGAAGGCCAAACATGGACGGAAGCCGCTGCCAATTTGGCATCTGGACGCACAGGAGCGCCTGGTGGCCCAGGCACTACGTCAATCTCGCCACGAGACGCGGCTGCACGCACCTTGCGAGTGAAGAGAGGGATTCGCTCGCCACCAGCTACTGGAATCAACTGTTCGTCGGGGACTCCTGCTGATCGAAGGAGGTTGATGGCTTCACCGTTGGCGACGACATGCGCTCCCGTTTTGAGTGCAATCCTATCGGCGCCGGGGAGACTGCGTGAAAAAGGAGACCAGTGAGCCTTTTCTTGTCTGTGTATGAAGGCGGACCTTGTGTATTGTTTCGAGTGGTGTGGCACTTACTGGTCAAAATGTGCGTGGGAGATGAATATGTAATCCGCTTCAGTCACATCGTCCACAGCCAGCACGTTGAGCATGGCATCTGGTTTGTCTAGCCATGTGTCTAAGAAGAGAACGAGACCATTGACCTTTACGCGAAATGTGTTAAAGCCTGGATGATGGATGATTCATAAGCCCCATGGAACTATCGAGCGCATGATTTAGGCAGTAAACTTACCGAGCCACTCAATTGTTGCGTCCATTTTTGCAAAAAAGGTCTTTTGGCCACGTCGCCAAATGATGATCAAAGCAGGTTTTCAGTGATGCGCGGGAATTCAGACGGAGATAAAATTTATCAGGTTGGATTGTAAATATCTACTGTGTATATACAGATCTTTATATACTAGGATATAGCCAGGCTGGAGGTGAATCTGGAAACCGAGGATGGGGATCGTCACCATTTCGCTTCGCTGGCAGGTACTTCATTCGGTGCCGGCCACCTCCACATTGCGGGGTAGTCCGTTGTGGGGTTGAAGTTTGGGCTCCTCCGCCGAGCCGTGTGGCCGGGAGTGATTCAACCCTAACCCTAGCCATCAAGAAACCTAGGGCCTTCTGAACATAAGAAGTCATATATGGGATCAAGGGTTCAGATCCTCGAAGGGAAGAGCCTCTTGTTTACTTCTGATCCTTTCTTTATACAATCGCGGATGACTGTCGCTCGTACGAAATCTATCTACATTATTTTGACCAAACAAGTCTTCCCGCCATGGCTACATCTAAATTTCTTCCTCACGAGGGAGGCAAGCGGAAAATCCGAGTCGCAATCATTGGGGCAGGCCTCTCTGGGCTTACTGTCGCCAATGGTTTGATGAGAGACCCGGCTGGGAGATTTGATGTTCAGGTCTTCGAACGAGACACGGCTACATTCGGCTCGGAGCGTGGCGGGTATCAGCTCCGCATCAGCCGCAATGGCCTGGATGCTCTGAAGACAGTATCCGATGCTGAACTTTGGGCCGCCATCCGCGAGGTCTGGACCGAGGATCACGAAAGGGCGCCTACGGTTGTTGATCCTGTTCGTTTCGACGCTGCCCTGCGCCTAGACACTCATAAGTGGTATCCCAAGAGTCGGTCATTGTCCAGAATCGGGCTGCGCCGTGCGCTCCTGCAGCCGATGATCGTCCAAGGGCGGGTTCAATTTAACCATTACTTTAAGCGTTTTGATATCCTGTCGAATGAAGGGGGTGTGCAGCTGCATTTCGACGGCCAGGATCCACAGGATGCCGACATTCTCATCGCCGCAGACGGCAGCGGCAGCCAGGTCAACCGGCAGGTTGGCCTTAATAACAAAGTCAAGCTCCAGAGCCAGATGCTGTTCCAATCTCGCGGCCGTGTTTCAAAATCTGCTTGGGCTGAATTGCCCGAGTCGCTCACTAAATACGGCCCAGTGTTGTTCTTGGGCGGCAAGAATGCTTTTGGGTATGCCTCAATTTACAACGACCACGACGCCAGCACCGACGGTCAACCGTCCTGGACACTATACTGGTCCATCCTCGTTGCTAGAACTCCTGGAGAAGAGTTGATAGTGAAGGCCGGCTCAGATCGTCAGAAGATCATTCCTAACCTGGTCGATTACGTTCGAAATGAGCTGGGCTATGGTGAACCCATGGAACGCATCCTCAAAACGGCGACTGAATACGTCCGGACAGGAATTGTGACCAGCTCTGTCAAGCCGGAGACGGATTGGCGAAACGGCGACAAGAAGAACGCGCGAGTTATCATCCTCGGTGATGCCATGCATCCCATGCCGCCGAGTCGAGGCATGGGTGCAAACCAAGCAATCACTGATGCCGGCAACCTCGTCGATTACTTTCGCCAGACTACTTTCAAGCAGGATGTGCCGTCTGATGACGAGCTTGCCGCTTTAGTACACGTATTCGATGAAGAGATGTACAAGCGTACATTCAACATGGTGAAGACCAGCGAGGAAGTAACTGCGCTGGACCTGAAGACGGTGAAAGGAAGGATGATTATCGCCTTTGTCAGCATGGTTATGACCGCTGTGGGATGGGTTTGTGCCGGCTTGGAGGCTGTTGGCTTGAGATCCCCTCAAAAGCTAGACTATTTTTCGCTAGAAAAGTAGTACGTGCAGGGGGAAGAAGGGTTTTCTTTGTTATCCAGTAGTCAAACTAGTTGTACTGATAATCGCTTAGAACGTTTGTCGATGTGACGCCAGGGATGGTTCTTTTAGATATAGAACTATTTTGTCTGACCCATAGCAGTGGTAAACTCGCCATTGCGATTGAACTAGCGGAATATAGTGAGTGACATGAATATCTATTTGGGTTATTCTTTTCTTGAGCAAGAGCTGTTTGACTAATAATACCAACACACAAGGGCTGGCTATTATTCCCATTCCCTGCTGCATTCTAAGCCACCCTTCTCACGGGGTCTTGTAGGTTTATGCCTTTGCCCTGCTTGCCTTGAATAGGATAGGATAGGACAGGATAGCTTGCGTGCGATGTGTCTCGAGTAATGTTCATGGACTGACTCTCGAAAAAAGGACACTTTGAAGCGGCATGTCAAGCAGGGCAAAGGCATACCTCCGGGAGAAGGATATCTTGCAGATATCGCATGTGTGAGAACGACGACCCGAGTGGCGGTCTATATGTCGACTCAGGTGCTCGCGACGACGGAAGGTCTGGCCACACTCAGGGCATGGCAACGATAAGGACGATGAGGGGGGGGGCAGCCAACTGTTCTTCGTTATTGCTAGTGGCCTAGATGGATGAGACATGCAAACTCGCCAAAATCTCTTTTTGCCTGAGTGGAGTCTTTCGTCCTCTCTGCGGTTTCTGGGAAGATCGTTTTCTTTTCGTTAACGAAACGTATGGGGGAGGGGAGCTCCATTACCTGTGGAGGCGGAGGCGCCCGATGTCTCGGACGCTCCCCCGCAACACAGCCACTAGGGAGGGGGGGCTCAGCTGAGCGCCGAAGCCTTCTTGGACCAATCCTGTGTGCAGCAAAATCATGAGTAACATCGGAGCGGAAGCTTCGGCAACAATTGGACAATGTGGAACCAACTGCACGTTCTATTTTCAATCGGCTTTTCCGGAATGGCTACTGTAACCCTGTACCTGGCGGAGCGTTCCTCCACTCTGGGGTGGTGTGGGGTTGGTATGGAGAATGTGGGGAGTGCGGAGGTTGGGAAACGCGTCGGAGGGGGGGGGGGGGGGGGGGGGGGGGGGGGGGGGGGGGGGGGGGGGGGGGGGGGGGGGGGGGGGGGGGGGGGGGGGGGGGGGGGGGGTAACCGGGGGGCCCCCCCCCCCCCCCCCCCCCCCCAATAGGAATTGAGCGCAGAATCATGAACAGCTACAGTACAGCGCAACAGGACTTTGGCAGGCTAATAGAAGCATTGGCTCACCAATAAGAAAAACTATAAGAACAGAGCAATGCAACAACATACAACATGGGCCTCAAGGTTCATCACAGGCATTGTCAAGTATGATGAGCATGGCTAAATTGTTTCAAATGCTAACGGAGGATCCTCCGTTGGCGTACCTTGCAGCCGCCGCTGTCGTCGCTGGTTTATCATTTCGACTTCTAAGGGCCGTGTACAGGTTGTACTTGCACCCCTTGTCAAAGTTTCCAGGACCGCGCTCTGCCGCCCTCGGCCATGGATGGCAGTCAAAGGTATTCAGCAGAGGCTTTCCCGAGCGGGAATACGATAAACTCCATAAAGAGTTTGGTGAGTAGCCAGCCAGTCGATCCCACTAAGTACTGGCTTTGAAAAGTCACGATTACTGAATGACAAGATCAATAGGGACCAAGGCGTTACGCATTGCACCGAATCAGCTCCATATCTCAGATCCCAGCCTGTACAAGGCGATCTACAGTCAAACCAATCCTTTCCCAAAGGAAAATGCTTTCTATGAAACCTTCGAGTCTCCTCACACGACTTTCAGCGAGGTTGATCCTCTGTTGCACAAACAGAGGCGCAAGATGCTTAATCCTCTCTTCTCCAAGTCAGGAGTCAATAAGATGGAGCCGCTCATTTTGGAGAAAATGGAAGAGACCATATCAAAGATCGAACAGATTTCGGACGCTGGCCCAATCGATATCTCCACTGCCTTCAGGTAAGATCCATCCTCAAAGTCCCTTGACGGCAATAGACAAAAGTCACATATCGGTGCTAATATGCTAATATTCATCTCGACGACGCAGATGCATGACAGGTGACATCATCTCTGAATTTTCATTCGGATCATCCATGAATCTGATCCACGAGCATCCAAATGCCTTTGAATCGAAGTATCTCAAAGCCTTGACCCTGTCCTCGGCACTGCCTTATGTGAGGTACTACAGCGTCACGCAAAGGATCGTGGCGAAATTAATCCCACTTTCCATCGCTGCCAATTTCCACCCGGTGCTGAGACATACCAAGAACATGGTTGATATGATACTGGGATCGTACGATGACTACGCTAGCAAGAAAACCGAGAAAACCGCGTCCAGCCTCCCCGTCATTTTTGACTTCCTCCAATCATTACCTGCTGAGCAGCAGAAGGCTGAGGCTATCAACACGTTCATTGCTGGCTCTGACACGACCGCCTTTACGCTTACCACAGCGGTATACTACATTTTAAGCCTTCCTGACGTTGAGAGAACATTAGTAGAAGCCTTGGACGAAGTGTTTGGAAATGCTCAAACCACCCCATCGCTGGTTCAACTCGAGCAAATCAAATACTTGGTAAGCTCTGTCGTTATCCCATTAGTGATGGAAAGGATTTTACGGCTGACATATTTCTAGCGCGCCTGTATCACCGAAGCTCTACGAGTTGGAATGGCAGCACCTGGCTTGCTCCCTCGTATCGTACCTAAACGACCCCAGCCGTTCATTGTAGACGGCAAAGTGGTACCTCCAGGTGTAGGTTTATTTTCCTCGGATGCTTCTACAAAGCCCCTCATTATTAACACGGGGTAGACAATTGTTGGAATGTCGGCGTATACGATGAATACCGATCCCCAGATCTGGGGTCCGGATGGCGGATCCTTCAACCCAAACCGTTGGCTTGGTCCGAACGCAAAGGAGCTTGAGACATATATGTGCACTTTCAGCAAAGGCGCTCGCCAGTGCATTGGAATCAAGTATGTGCACTCCCCCCCCCCCGAGACGTTTGAAGACAGGCATCAAAAGCTAACCTGTCAAGTGTTGCGTATGCGGAGATAACCATGACCCTAGCACACATCTTCTACCGTTTCAAGATGGACTTGAAGACGAAGGAGTTCCGTGCGAAAGACAGGTTTATTCAAGAGTTTGAAGAGCCGGGGATTCTAGTAGACTTCAAGCTGCGACAACACTCTTAAGGTCGTCGTTTCCAGAGCATGGGGGACAGATGATGGAAGAAGCGCGATTCAGGACCTAGGAGCCTATATAACAGTTTCAATCTCTACAAGCCAGTCAAAAACTACCTACTACTGAGCCTTGATGTACGGATGGCCTGTAAGCAGTTCAGTATGACTTGAAGCAGGATTCTGGAGGGTATTAAGAGAAAGTATACAAGTTGATCACGGAGGAGGTATGGAAGATGATGTCCCTTAACTCCAAATTCAGTCCTTCTTATACATAGATCCCCCGCCCCCCCCTTTTTCTTTTTTCTTTTTGCGCCTGGTCTATTGGCCTACACAAATACTGTACCGCTCGGACATCTCGCTGGACGATGGGACCAAGCTTTTTGGAGTGTAATATTCCGATCGTAGACCACACTGATAAGACAGCTAATCACATAGAGCGAGTCGGAGTATCACACAGGAGTTTATTATAAATCGAGGATAAAACCATGAATTTATTTCAAAGAGTCGTGCTAATTATTTAGGATTTCCTCACAGTTCCCTTGATACCCGACTTGCCAGGTGATAAAATGTCGTTAGGATCCAAAGTGGCCTTGAAGCTATCAACAAGCTTTGCGTGGGCGTGATCATTGAATGAGAAGTGACTCCTGATCTGGTCCATGTACTCCACGTGAGTGCGATACGTAGTCAGTCCACGACGGGCAGCATCGTTGATCAGGTTCTGGACGAGTGTCTTTACGCGGTCCTTCTCCTCGGGCGCGTATACTACCATGACGATGGGGATGATGTACCGAGACCAAACGTGGAAATCGGCGAAGAGGTCAAGATTTGCTTCAGCGACCATCTTTTTAGCTTCTAGCCACCATTCGAGCAATGCCGGGCCCGAGGTAGGGAGAATGGGAGCGAAGTCGCCGTGTCCGCTTCCGGGTGCCATGCGGTAGTCCATCAGAGTCATGGCCGTCAATGTCGGCACGCCATTGTGGGGAATGCCGGGGGTTTCGACTTCTTCTCCTCGAAGGAACCTGCCCGGGGTGCCACCAAACTTCCTGACTTCAAGCCGAGCTCCAGGAATCTTTGTGATGGCGCGACGCAGTGAACTCTCCAGGGCTAGGACTACATCGGCGTCACCTTGAATACCGAACTCGGCTCTCCAGAATCCCCAGCCGTAAGTCGACTTCAGCTCGTCCAGAACGCTGTCCGGGACTCTCTTGTTGGGACCGAAATAAGGTGCCATTTTCTCTGTACAGGCAGGGTCCGGGGACAGGATGGCCTGGCGGAAAACGTTGGAAACGGAGGGGTGGTTGGTGATTACGCCTCGCCTTTGGAGATCCGCGAGAAGCTCGATGAACTGGGGGAGATCTTCCTCGTTTGGCACGCTCAGGTCACAAGCGGTGTACGCCTCAGGTGCCGGGGAAATGTGAATACCCAGCTTCGTCACGACGCCTAGTAGTAGTCGACTCAAAGTCAGTACATATATTCTTGATCTGGCATGGCATGGCACGGCTGACGAGAAAGGCAGAGCTTACCTAGATTAGACTGATAGAAGAGTCCATCAAGACTTGGTCCAAAACCGCTAGAGAATTAACTGGTTAGCACATTGTGTTGTTGATCAGGCGACGACGACACTAAGTTTGGTGGACTGGTGATAGATAACTCACGCCTTGTAAAGAGGGAACAGTTTACTGTCAGTCATAGCACCCATTCCAGTCCGCACCAGATCTCCTGTTGGAAGAACAACCTCCATGCCGCACTGCATATCTGTGTGCACGCCACCAGGAGTATAGCCGAAGCCGTGGTCCAGCGTGTTGCCCAGGACAGATCCCCATCCGATCGCGGCGGTAGATGGCCACAGCGGGAGATCGCGCCGTTTGATCTCTTCGTAAAGGTCAAAGAAGGAGACGCCTGGCTCGACAATGGCGTACGCATCTTTCCCGCTGACCTCCAACACGCGGTTCATTCGATGCAAGTCGAGGACCACGCTGCCAGCCACGACAGGTGCCGAGCCGCCATAGCCAAGGTTCCTACCGCGGGATACCGTCCACAAGGGAACCTTGAATCGGTTTGCCAGTCGTAGAACCTGCTGTACTTCTTCTACAGACGCCGGGCGAACCGCACCACTAGGGGTGTGCTGATCCTGATCGACCAAGGAGTATGGATCGCCGTAGCTGTTTTGCTGGTGAGGCCCAGTCAAGGCGCCTGCTGATGCATCCCGGGAGATGTTCTCACCGCCGACGATCTTTGCAAGCTCATCAAAGAATTGACTATGCTCGGAAGGTCCAACACCAGGGGGAAGAACTCGGACTGAGGACGGCATTGCTGCGAGGTTGGTTGGAACAAGGTGTAAGTGAGTGAGCGAGCTGGTTAAGAACAAGCTTTGGAGGCTTTAGGGACAGCCAGCAGAAGTTACAATGAACTGTATTCTATGGAAAGGACCTCCTACAATTGAAAGGGGTTTTTATACAGTAAGTACCGTACCTAGTCAAGGTTTCTACTTCAATTCAGCTTGTTAGTATTTGCCGACGCATGCCCCGCGTTACTAGGATGGATTGCGCGATACTACGGGAGACCCCGTAATGCGGGGGGCGTCCGTGGGAGGCAAGAAAGAAAGTCAGACAGACAGACAGACAGATCCCGTGCTCCAATTATATCAGGTGTAATAATAAAAGATAAGAAATAAAAAGAATAATGGTCACAAGGCCCGGCAAAGAGACTATTGCAATGCATCTTCCCCACCCCGCAGCAGCATTTCCCTCCTCCTCCTCCTCCTCCTCCTCCTCCTCCACCTCCACCCTATGGAGTCGGGTTGTGTTTACAAACGCAACTAACTAACGCGGGTTGGTTGGTCGAGGCAGCCTACGACACTAACTAACTACGAAGCCAGCCAGACGTTTGGCTTGTTCTGTGATAGATGGAATTGATTGAGAGAAATGAGAAGATGCGGACCAGTCTCTGCGTGTCTTTGGCAGACAGATAGACAAATACAGCGTACAGATAGATGGGCTTCTTTAAATATGTATCAAGTTTGCTTGCTCTCTTAATTACTTATCGACGTAAAATGCCAGGTCCTCTTGATTCACCTCGCGAGAAGTGAGGCCGTTGCCCATGATCCGGAACCGATTTTTGCTGCAGTATTCAAGCTCAAAGTCCTCCGTCCTGGAGCTCTCCGTCAACGCCTTGTAGTGTAGAACACTCCCGCCGTACATGGCAAACACGCGGCCGTCCACGGTGCCATTCTTGAACCATGATCGGCAGCCCGATGTCCATACAGTACGCTTCAGGACCCCTTGCGTGTATTCATTGTACTCTGCAGACGCCTCTTGCTTGACGGTAGCGGACCTAGACAAGACCGGAAAGTGTCAGTCTCGAACCTAACTTCTAAAGCTTTCCATAACAAAGGTGTGTGTGTGTGTGTGTGAGAGAGAGAGAGAGAGAGAGAAAGAAACTTACCGGATATCAACCATAGCAATCTTCTTGCACCACTGCCCGATGTAGTTGGCCGTCCAGTCCATAACCGAAATCAGGCTTCCATGCGCAACCGGGCTGTTAGGGCCGGTGAAGATGAAGAAATTGGGGAAATTCGACACGCAGGCTCCGATGTATGCTTCTGGATGGTCTTCCCACTGCTTGGAAAGCACCGCGCCGCCTTTGCCTACCATGTGCCACGGCGGAATGAAGCTGGTGTTGAAGCCGGTAGCACAGACGATGATGTCAAAGTCATCGCTCGAGTCTGTGGTGGTAATGCCTGTCGCTGTGATTTCCTTGATTTGACCGAATTCGATCCTCGCATTGGGCTCCTGGAGAGCTTCGAGATAACCCTCGCCCGGCGACAAGCGTCGGCATCCAGCCTTGTAGGTAGGGATGAGCTTCGCGCAGAGCTCAGGGTCTCTCCCCAGACGCTCCTCCATCTGCTCTCTGAACACCTTTTGGGCGGCATTGTTCGCTTCGCTACCGTCCAGCAGCATTTGGAAGAGTTTATTGAAGCCGTGAGTGATGTCCTTGCGCAGCTTCCGAAGCTCCTCCGGGCTCTCATTGAACTTCTTCCTCTCCTCTTCTGAAAACGCAAAGTTTTTGCCGTCGGGGGTAAACTCGGCAGCCATATTTGGCGAGATCCACGTCGGCCCTCGAATGTAGTTGACAAGCTTGGCAGCGGCAGGCTGCAACTCGGGAACCACCTGGATGCCTGAGGAGCCGTTGCCAATGACCGCTACATTCTTCCCTTTCCATTCAATAGATTCGTCCCAGTCGGCCGTGTGGACCAACTTGCCTTTAAAGGTCTCGAGGCCGGGAATTTTCGGCCACGATCACTTGCTTAGGAATCCGGTGCCATTGATCAGAACATCAACGTCCTCCTCCGTTGTTCTGCCGCCGTCCTTGACCAGCTTGAAATGGTATTTGCCATTCGCATCATCCCAGACGGCTGAAGTCAGTTCGGCCTTGAACTGGATATTGTCGGCTAAACCGTACCTCTTTGTGGTGTCCTTGATGTACTGGAGAATCTCAGCGCCGCCAGCGTAGAAGGAGCTCCAGTTAGGATTCGGTTCGAAGGGGAATGCGTAAATATGAGCTGGGACCTAGACAACACACAAGCCATTATTTAGTCATGTAACAATTGTGCATATCGCAAGAGAGGAGAAACTTGGGCCTTTTTGCTTACATCGCATGCAACACCAGGTTATCGATTGACGAGCCAGGTGCCTCCCACGTCGGCATTCTTCTCATAAATTCTCAAATCGACGCAGGGGGCAAGCTGCTTATCGAACTTGCACTTATACGCGAAAAGAAGGCCAGAAAATCCGGCACCAATGCAAGCGACCTTGAGCCGCCGGGGATGGTGCAATGGCTGATCATTAAAGGGCACCCAGCAGCTAGCCTGCTCTTTGGCGTTTGGCGCGGCGATAGATCCCATATTGAACGGATCCCTTGGCCTTTCGGTATGCAGATCGGGTTTTCTTTTTCTTTTAATTTTTTTAAGGAATTTTCCCCGACTTTGAGGGAGGCATTTCTTCTATTAGTAGTTCATTGTGTTTGCCCTGCGCTGGTCACTGGTCGCGGGCGGGCTTCTTTGCTACAGCCACCCGGACCCCCCGCAATCGCGAAGTCGGGGGGACCACTATCTCCACGTACTGCTGCTTCCATCCGAAACCCCGGCATGAGCATCGGGATTGAGGTACCGGGAGCGTCCGAGGGCCAGAACTATTGAGACCATACCTAGCTCTTGCATTGGCTAGAACCATCACGAGACGCCGATGACCTGAGCTTGAGTTCCTGCCAGCCTTTAAGGCAGCGTTTGATTGAGCGTTCACGCTAGCCAATATCTGCTCAGCTTTCCGCGGCGCAGGCCTTATTCCTCTCTAGCTAGACGCTGTCCTATTAAAGCTAGACGTGCATCTCTGTAAGCCTAGGTTTCGTGGTATACTGCTTGGTTTTTATTATTTTCTGTAGGCCAACTGTCATATCGGGAATAACGTGGCTCGGCGCTTTAAACTTGGGTAAATGGTACGTAATGGTAATATTGTGGGGAGCGGCCGAGGCATCTCGGGACCCCGCCTCCACACTCTCTGACTCGGCCTCCACACTTCCCCATATCCATGGTGGAGCAACCTACACCGCTTGGAGATTACGAACCAATTAAAAAAAAAGAAAAAAAAGGGCTACGTATTAATGCCCCACTTGTCTCCCGAAGCTCCGAGCAAGGTGCTTATGACTGCTGCACTCTAAACCTGCCTCTGCGGCCTGGTATAAGTACCTTGGTCGAATCGCGCAGAATGCAGCATCCGAAAGGCAGTGCCATGAGGCTCTTGCAACCGGGCGGTCTTTTTCCATATTTCTCTACCGACACACAGTAATTTCACACTTCAGCATATCCTTCAACATGCAATCAGATGCCTCCGCTGTTGCTGACGAAGGCTGTAATGCCGATAACGATAACCATAGCCCTGTCGACGGTGTCAGTGACGGCACTGGCCCCCAATGCGGCTCCTCCCCCGCCTCCTCGTCGTCCGCATCGTTAACGTGCCCCGAGTGCGGGCAGACCTTCCATCGGCGCGAGCACGTAATTCGACATCTGGACTGTCACTCCGGCCGTCGCTCTTACATATGCCATCTCTGTAAGACAGCCTTCTCTCGGAGGTATGCATTCTCCCTACCTTGAAGAGCCTAGCCTGTATGCAATGTGTCTTGTATAACGTTTGTGGCTGACTTTCCGGGGGAGAAAGGGACACTTTGAAACGCCATGTTGGCACACATGGCACTGCAGCCCTCGCTGAATGGACGCAAAACAATTCTCGTTTCTCGCGAGGTCAACAATATCGTGCGTGCGAAGCCTGCGCCAGAGCTAAGCAACGCTGCGATGGCCGCAGGCCGGCACCTTGTACCAAGTGTACGAACAAAGGTCGTCGCTGCTTATACCAACCAAATCCTGGCAACGACGACACTGAGACTATCCTCGTTGCACAGCCTGTAGCCGATGATGGCGTATCCGCTATCTACTCTTCGCCTTCTCAGCAATTGCAGCCTTTGACTCCGATGTCTTGTGTTCCGGTCCAACCTAGTCTCGAGCCAGACCTTACATGGGACGCCCTCTTGACCTCTACTCAATTCCTGCTCCCGTTCTCGCCAGTGCCCCCTCTTGAAGCTGGGACATTGGCCGACTTTTGCTTCGGAGACGCCGCTTTGGCTGCCGCTGGTCAACTTGCAGATGACCAGAGTGTGCAGAATAGCTTCGGTGCAGAAGCAACACAGGGAGGAGCTGTGGAGGCCGTTGAGGTCTTTATTGGACAAGACAATCTGACAGCGGAAGAAGAAGACGTCCTGATCGCGGAGAACATTCCTCATGTACCTCCTATGACCGAAGAGACTCGAGCATACATGATCCAAGCCATCAAAGCCGGACTGCCACATCATGAGGCCCAAGGGCTTGACGCCAACTTCCCCTCTTTGCGACATCTCGATACATACATGCAATTGTATTTTGAGCACTTTCATCCACTGATGCCTTTGTTGCACGTTCCGACTTTTCAGGCGTCACCCGAGACGTGGCAGCTGGTTCTCAGTGTGGTGTGTCTCGGCAGTCGGTACTCCCAAGCACACCACCATCATGATCATGTTCTACTCCTGCAGCGACTTGCCCAGTATATGGTGAAAAGAGATGTAAGGCCCACCCCCGAGCCAATACATCATGTTGAGCTGATGCTGATGCGATATCCAATACATTGTAGCTTCGAGAGCTATCGAGTGTTAACATCTTGACCTGTGCGCAATCCCACTTGTTGTTCCAGCAAAATCTTTGGCTCTCGGGCGAGTGGAGCATTACAGTTGAGTTGCAGTTTTACCGGAATATCCTCATTACCCTTTGTCGCCTGTTGCTGTCTCGAGAGGCCACCTTGATGCACACGCCTGCATCCACGGAAGACGGGAACCACACATGGTTCCAATGGATACAAGCAGAAGCCAAACGGCGGATCGTCCACTTTACCTATAGTAAGTCATTGGATCCTTACTCAACCCTCCCTCGGCTTTTAGCTTACAAAAGGAGTTTCCGAGTGTCTCTACGCAACATTTCTTATGCTTCCTCCTCTGCTCTCAACTCCTGAGCTGCAAACCCCGGTACCCACCGCTGATTCGTATTGGTCATCGAGTTGCGAGCAGTGGCACCTTCTCCCGCCACCGCAACCTTCACCAACTCTTTGTGCTCTACTTGCACGTATTGGTCTCGGCGATGTAGCGCCGGCGAGTCTGGAGCAACTGACCAAGTCTGCGATCCTGTTTTCGGCCTCATTGCACAAAGCTGCTGAGAGCGACTTCCTTCTAGCTATGGGACTTGGCTCTACTGGCACTACTGCTAGTCAACCGAGTCCAGCTCTGGGCATGGTGACAACGCTCTCTCAGAAAGCCTTCGATGCTTTGTCACAAGTAGGATGCTCTCAGGTGTTGCGCGAAACGGATGCTGGCACCAGCTCGAATTACTTTGCTTTGCTTTCTCGAGTTCTTGCCATTCTCTCATTTACGCCATTATCGCTACTCTTTTCTTATACCAAATGGCAGACGACAGACATAGGCCAAAGCAACGCCCGGTCTCAACTTTTAAACATTGTACCACAGAATGTCAGCAGAGCAAGGCACTGCTTGTACTACGCAGCGCAGGTCCTTCAACACTTTCGCACCACCAGACCAGCAACAGTACTTGACATTATGGGCGGTTTAGTCTGTGTGCTCTATATAGTACTGTACGTAGATACTATCGAGCAGCAAGATCCCAATGTCGCCGGACGTGGGGCTGGCATCAAAACGTCTACCATGGACATCATCCGACTCGACCAAGTCGTTGATACAGATCTTTTGAACGACTGGTTACAGGCCAGAATTCATAAAAGACCTCACGTTCTTGGGGTCGGTTTCCTACACAATAGCGGCAGCATACCGCGTTTATATAAAGAAGCGTCGCGGATCATAGAAAATGGGTCCTCTATCTCGAGGATGGCTAAGGTAATATCAAATCTTCTCGAGTCGCAAGCCAAAGGCTATCCTCCGACCGATAGGACATTCAGAGCGCTGTGAGAATCTGGGTTAGAGTGTATTAGTAGCTTTTTGTATTAGTTAACCGCTATTACTTATTGTAGATTTTAATACTTCGTCCCCCTTAAAGGCTGCTTCTAAACAGTAACTACTTTTATGTTGCTAACGCTCCGGAGCCTAAAGGTTACCTAGCTAATATAAGGCGACGGATTATGCACAATCTGCGCTCAATTTAGTATAGCGTAGGTGTTCGCTAACTAAGAAAGAAAATCTAGAGGGTATAATCTGTGCGTATAATCTACAGGCTTTAACAGTATTGTAATATACTAAAACTTACTTAGAAGATGTAAGATAATGCTACAAATCTAGTGCATTCTTTAGAATACCTAGCTAATATAAGGCGACGGATTATGCACAATCCGCGCTCGATTTAGTATAGCGTAGGTGTTCGCTAACTAAGAAAGGAAATCTAGAGGGCATAATCCGTGCGCATAATCCGCGGGCTTTAACAGTATCGCAATGTACTAAAACTTACCTAGAAGATGCAAGACAACGCTGCAAATCTAGTGCATTCTTTAGAATACCTGCAGCTAGCACTATTGTTAAGATATTTGTGCGTAAACTTTAGCTAGAGAGACTTAACGTTCCTTGCTAAAGTCGGAGCTTATAACCTCTAACTACTGTGTTTGTGCGTACGATAAGCTAGTTCGCTAGATAAGCTACCCTACTAACATTAGACGATCGCACAAATAAGGCTGTAGAGCTACCTACAATAGCTATTATTACGAGATTTTATAAGGTTGTAGTAGTTATATTATTACGATAAAGTTGCGCTACTTATATTTACTCGGTAACTTGGTTGTACGCCCGTAGCGGGTCGTCTAAGTTGGGACGGCTAGTGCAGGCACCTTACCTTGTACATAAGATAGGTTAACAACGCTACGCTTCTAACGCTTCTGCTTTTGAGTAGAGGTTTGTAAGGCCTTACGCTTGCTGTTTTGGGGCTGTTGTATTGCTTTTTGAGAGTCGCGAGCTGCTTTTTTAGCCTCCTTTTTAGCCTCTTTCGCAGCCCTCTCCTTCTCCCTTACCTCCTTAAGTCTCTCTTTCTTATTACGCTTTTCTTTAGCCACCTAAAGCTTGTAGAGTCTTGCCTGCTCCTTAAGGTATGCCCTCTCGGCTTTCTGTACTTGTTTAAGTTGTTGTTAGTGTTATTAAGCTGCCTTATCGTCCCGAGCCTGACGGACCTTACGAGGAGACTAGAAGACAGCGCTACCGTGATACTCATAAGGCTTGTTGAGTTGTAGAGTGTAGAACTTCTTCTCCTGTCTCTTTCTAACGTTTAAAGCAGCCCTTAGGCCCCTTAACTCGCCCTTAAGAATACTTGCCTAGGCTAAGATATAGTGTAAACTTCGGCTAAGCTTTTTAACGTCCTTATTGCTTTAATCTTTTACTGCACGACGTATAAGACTCTCTAATTTAACCTAATCCTCACCGCTAAGTACAGAAGTAGAGCTCTTGTCTAAACTAGAGTCCCTCTAACTAAACCGGCTGAGTATAACTTTAGGATTGGGTAGGTAGATCTCTATTACTTTAAACGCCCTCTTAATAGCTTAAGGCTTGAAGGCAGCCGTCTAAGACCTCTA